TGTAGATTGTGTCAAAGCAGCTTGTGTAAATGTGTGTAAATTTATATTCATTCAGTTTTATATTAATTTCAGTAATATTATTGACTAATATGAAAATATTCATATGATTTATTTACAATGCAGTTTGTAAAGTCATATTTTTTGTCTTTTATTAGATACATTATATGAGAGACTTGCTCTAATTAGATCTAGTGGATCTAATTAGATGTGCATTGTAAACATTAAATAAAAGTTAAAAAGGTACTTTTAAAAAAGTTTTTAGTTATGATACTCCCAAAATCATTCTGCATAATTCCCCAGATTTTTAACAATATTCTGCTCAGAAACAGCAAAAGATATCTGCAGATTCTGTCTGACCCTAGTCATCAGTCATTTTTAATTGCATTGATTTCATGATACGATGAAAAATCATTTAACTATTGCAATGTAAAACAAAATCATTCAGTGGAAAAAGTTACAGATAGGTTCAGAGGACAATAAAGATCTGTCAAAAACATCATAAAAGTGTTAGATTTAAAGGTGATCTGCCCAAAATCTAACTGGTTAGCACAATATCTTTCAAACACAGTCCCTTTCCTGCCATCCAAAGCCTTGCCTCCTGAAATTATGTGAATGCGCGCATTAAAGATGACAGTGAACCACTAAATCAGGGGTGGCTAACCCTGTTCGTGGAGAGCCACCTTCCTGCAGATTTTAGTTGCAACCCATATCAAACCCTCCTGAACCAATTAATTAGGACCTGAAATCCACTTGATAATTACAGGCAGGTGTGTTTGATATGGGTTGCAACTGAAATCTGCAGAAATGTGGCTCTCCACGAACAGGGTTGGCCACCCCTGCACTAAATCATGTCATTTACCAGTTAGAAAACTTTATAGTACTTTATAATACTACAATTCTGAATGAAAAACTGTGGCTGTTTCTCAATTCCAAGAACGCAGAGAACGGACTTGTGTTCTTGTGGAGACCGGTCTTGCCAGGTGTCCTCAGAAGAACGAACTCAGGAGACCGCGAGGGCAGAGAATGCGTCCTTTGAGAAATGGGATGCTGCGTTCTTCCTGATGGTCACATGACCTTCACGTGTTTTAAATGGTAAATTATTTAAACATTACAGCCTTCATACAACGATTTATTGTTTTTCCCCTTTTCAAAATATATATTTTGCATAAAAACATTATAAATCTATGTTGCACAATATGAATAAAACAGATGTTAATACGAATTTCAGCAAACAAACACCCTTAATGTGTTTATTCCTTTATTAAGATGTTCATGGTAATGTTTACTTTCACCGTTTCATTTAGGGAAACTCCCGATGTAAATAAGTGATATCTCCAAACTTTAATAATAAATCTAAATAAAATGCAGCGCTTCCCACCTCCAGTCGCAATGACTTCTGGGACTTCCAGAGTGAGTTCGGTGCTCAAGTCTGCATCAGTGCGTCCTCGATATCAAGAACACATCCGGGAAGTTTCACGCGTCCTTCGTATTGGGTACTGAACTTGGGTAGCTGATGATGACGTTTCACGAGAACACGAGGACGCAAGACCGCTGAAGAACGCATATTGAGAAACAGCCTGTGTTATATCTAGCACGTTTTCAGTTGTGTAGCAAGCAAAACTTGTCATAATGTGCAATTTTTCATGCATGCAGAGATCACTGGTCTCACTCTCCCACATGCTTTGTCCTAAAGCCACTACAGTTTGTTTAATGTTTGGCCGGCGGTGTGCAGGAATTACACTTAATACTAAGCCGTCCTTATTAATGTCTTCATTCTGGGATCCCCACTTTAAATTAATACATTTGTATAAAGTAAATCATTCCTCAAAGCTTACTGGAGCACAGATGATTTTTACTGCACTGTAAAAAGTGATTAGTTACTTAAAGCGAGTAAACCAATTGCCTTAAAAGCAACAAGTTGACTTTAAAAAAATAATGTAAGTAAACCCATTGTAACTTGGAACTGTTAAGTTGACTTAATTTTTATAATTATGCTAATTGAACTCACTTTTCAAATATATTTGTTAAATAAGATTTGGTTTCCAGAGCAATAATATTGTATAACAGCAAGTTCAGTAGATTAACCCAATAACATGCGTAAACTCAAACTGTCAGAGATGTCTTTTAAATCAAGTTCAAATAACATTACAGGAGATCGATGTGGAGATAGGCTAACATTAGTTTTGTCTTCCTAATTATTATTTTAGACCCATAAAGTGAATTACTGCTAGATAGCGATCACCTGTATTTTCCCCGTATCAGCAAACTAATAAAGCCAGTTAAAGCCTTGACCTTACCGAATAAACAGTGTTCCACCAGATCCCTTTGGTCAGAAACTATAGTTCACTGCTGAACTCATTTTATCATGGTAAATAACACACAAATCAAATAATGAATCTCCTCCCGAAGCTCTGGGCTGTTTCTCAATAAGTACGCAAAGTTCGGACTTGCGTCCTTGGAAGTTCAGACTTGCCAAGTTCAGACTTGGAAGAACGAACTCCAGAGGACGGGAGGACGCAAAGACGGGTACTTCTTTAAATGGAACGGCAGTGTACTTTATAACATCACTTACCTCACCATGGATTCATCGGTTTCACTGTACATTACCAATAAAATTATTTAATTATATAATGCACGACCCTGGAATTAATATTATATTAACATTATAAATCTACATTATTGATTTAAGAAAATGTACACATTCATATAAATGTCAAGTAAAATGAGTTATTATACACAGACACGTGTCCTTAATTATCAGATTTAAAAAACTACAATGGTAATTATACAAGTATATACAATAAGAAATTAAGACATCCACGATAAGAAATAAAGATTACGTCAAACAATTTGGTAAACAAAGACAAACAGCGTACAACACGGTAACATGATTAAAGACAATTATAAAAGGTAACAAAATAATACTGCCAAAATAATACACCTGAGAATAAATAATAGATTTAAAAGACCAAAAACTGTCCGTTAGATATTCATAAGATGAATTAAATATCATGTTTTAACTGCAGTGGAGTGATGAGATCCAGCGGTACATCCGAGATGGCCTGGCCGAAGTAGACTGCTCTTGGCGGGGGAGGTAAAGTTGGTTTTATATTCGTGCATTCATTTATTTAGAAGTCTCTATATTGTTTACCATATTACTTTGAAAATTTGATCAGAATTAGCATGCAAAGTATGACTTCTAAACAACATTAACACTATATAATTCACTGTTATAGAACAATGTTGTACTTAGATAGTCATTTGCTACTAATATGATTTTCCTATTTAGATTTTGTAAAAAATCTAATTATCTATAAAAAAATCTAATAAAATGATAAAGGGGAAAGTCCGAATGTACGAATATAAAACCAACTTTACCTCTATTGATGACGGAGCTCCTTTGGCAGGCTGGGAGTCGGAGTCCGCATTGGCAGAGGCACATCACTAAAGACGCATTATCTTTGTGAATAAACTGCCGATTCAAGTTTAAAACAACTACATTCTTGCCTGAAAAACTGTCAAAACTTTATTTTGTGACACAGTAAAGGAGTATTTTTAAAACCGTGCGGGTTTTCTCCTCCACCATTTGCGTTTGCTTGTTTAGCTGCAATGCATTCTGGGATACCTGAGCTTTGCAAGTTCGCACAAGTCACCTCTCGATGCATCCTTGGCCAAAAGGGCAGAGCAAGTACACATCTGGGAATTTTATCTGTACTTGGCAAGATGTGAACTTTGGCTGTTTCTCAATTCCAAGAAAGAAGAGAACAGACTTGCGTTCTTGTGGAGGCCGGTCTTGCCTGGTGTCCTCGGAAGAACGAACTCGGAAGACCGCAAGGACAGAGAACGCGTCCTGTGAGAAATGAGACGCTGCGTTCTTCCCTGGTTCTTCCTGATGGTCACATGATCTTCACGCGTTTTTAATGGAAAATTATTATTATTAACATTACAGCATTCATACAGGGAATTATTGTTTTTCCCCTTTTCACAATATATACTATGCATAAAGACTTTATAAATACACGTTGCACAATAGAAAATAAAACAGATTTTAATACGAATTTCAGCAAATAAACACCCTTAATGTGTTTATTTCTTTATCAAGATGTTTATGGCAATTTTTATATTCACCGTTTCATTTAGGGAAACTCCTGAGGCAAATAAGTTAAATCTCTGAACTGTAATAATAAATCTAGATAAAATGCTGTGCTTCCCACCTCCTGTCGCAATGACTTCTGGGACTTCTAGAGCGAGATCGGTGCTCAAATCTGCAACGGTGCGTCCTCAATATCAAGAACACACGTTTCACGCGTCCTCTGTTCTCATGGTCTTGAGTATTGGAACTGAACTTTGGCAGTTGATGATGACGTTAATCAAGAACACAAGACCGCTGAAGAACGCATATTAAGAAAGAGCCTTTATCTGTACTTGGCAAGATGTGAACTTTGAATTGGAACAGTAGTTTGGCAACGGTTGATGACGTTTCACGAGGACACAAGAACGCAAGTACATACAAGAACGCATATTGAGAAACAGCCCTGATGGTCAGCTTTGAGAAACTGTCAATCACAGCTGTCAATCACGATGACACGCCCAGCATTAAAATACTGGCTAAAAACATACTGTTTACAAAAATGAAGATCTGCACCTATATGAGCATGATAACCAGTGCCAGAATTTGACCAGAGCAATCTTTCAAGACATTTTATTGCAAGTGTATTTTTTTTTTATTTGGGCTCAAGTCTCCTTCATTAACAAGGAGGTGGTGGGCTTTATGACTTGTACTGCAGCCAGCCCACAGAGGGCAATCTAACGGCCGGGACCTTCACTCAAAAGCAGGTGTGTGGCACACTGGAGTTCACCTCTCTAAAAAATGTGTAATCTTTTTAACTCAACTAAACATTTTTTGTATTACTGACAAATAATTTTAGGTCAGTGCAACTGATGTTTTCAGAAGTGTGTGAACAGAAGAGTGAACAAGAAAAAGCAAAAGGAATTAAAAACGTTTTTATACAGTGTAGATCCTTTATTTTTCAGAAGATGTAGTGTAATTATTGATGAAAGCTAAAATATTAGGTTAATAATAATAATACATATATTCATCTGTTTCAACAAGTCTACCATTCCTCACGACTGCAGTCTCATATGTTTGAAAGTTTCGCAGGTAATCAGTGTGACATTGAGCGTATGCATAATTGCCCGGATTGTAGTTCAATTGAGGGTTGTAGTATCCAGCATTATTGTATGATGGGACCAACATATTGTTCCCCTACAAGAAAATAAGAGAAAACACAAGAGGGAGGGGTGGAGGGGGGAGGGGGGGAGACATGCATGTTTCAGTTCATGTTGACCAAACCATTGTGGTTATCAAAGCGCTGTGCCTAGAAATAAACAAGCATATCATTGTTCCTTTTAGCTTGTTTGGTCACATTGTAGTTAGTCTTACCATATTTGGGTTGTTATTGGGGTATTCCAGTTCAAGATCATATTCACCCATGATGCTGAAAATTAGCAAAACATAATTTATTATTATTGAGCAATGCTAAAGCTTAGAATTAAAATTACGTGCATTAATTTAAAAGTAAAAAAATATACAGTGCATTCAGAAAGTATTCATAGCGCTTCACTTTTTCCACATTATAGCCTTATTCCAAAATGGATTAAATTAATTTATTTCCCAAAGTTTCTCCACACAATACCCCAAAATGACAATGTGAAAACAGATTTGAAACTGTTGCAAATTTATTAAAATTAAAAACCTGAAAAATCACATGTACATCAGTGTTCACAGCCTTTTGCGTGAAGCTCTAAATTGAGTTCACATACATTCTGTTTCCACTGGTCATTCTTGAGATGTTTCAGCAGCTTCATTGGAGTTCACCTGTAGTAAATTCAGTCGATTGGACATGATTTGAAAAGGCATACACCTGTCTATATAAGGTCCCAAGGTTGACAATGCATGTCAAAGCACAAACCAAGCATGAAGACAAAGGAATTGTCTGTAGACCTCAGAGACAGGATTGTATCCAGGCACAAGGCTGGGGAAGGTTACAGAAAAATTTCTGCTGCTCTGAAAGTTCCAATGAGCACAGTGGCCTCCATCATCCATAAGTGGAAGATGTTTGGAACCACCAGGACTCTTCCTAGAGCTGGCCGGCCATCTAAGCTGAGTAATCAGGGGAGAAGGGCCTTAGTCAGGGAGGTGATCAATAACCCGATGGTAACTCGGTCTGAGCTCCAGCGTTTTTCTGTGGAAAGAGGAGAACCTTACAGAAGGACAACCATCTGTGCAGTAATCCACCAATCATGCCTGTATGATAGACTGGCCAGATGGAAGCCGCTCCCCGTCTGGAATTTGCCAAAAGGCATCTGAAGGACTCTCAGACCATATGAAACAAAATTCTCTGGTCTGATGAGACTAAAATTGAACTCTTTGGAATGAATGCCAGGCGTTATGTTTGGAGAAAACCAGGCACCGCTCATCACCAGGCTAATAGCATCCCTACAGTAAAGCATGGGGGTAGCAGCATCATGCTGTGGGGATGTTTTTCAGCAGCAGGAACTGGAAGACTAGTCAGGATAGAGGGAAAGATGAATGCAGCAATGTACAGAGACATCCTGAATGAAAACCTGCTTCAGAGTGCTCCTGAAATCAGACTTTTGTGACAGCTCATCTTCCAGCAGGACAATGACCCAAAGCACACCGTCAAAATATCAATGGAGTGGCTTCACAACAACTCTGTGAATGTCCTTGAGTGGCCCAGCCAGAGCTCTGACCTAGATCCTATCGAACATCTTTGGAGAGATCTGAAAATGTCTGAACACCATTGCTTCCCATTTAGAAAGGAATTGGCAAAAATTCCCCAAAGACAGGTGTGCCAAGCTTGTGGCATCATATTCAAAAAGATTTGAGGCTGTAATTGCTGCCAAAGTTGCATCAACAAAGTATTGAGCAAAGGCTGTGAATACTTCTGTACATGTGATTGTTCAGCTTTTTTATTTTTAATAAATTTGCAACAATTTAAAAAACTTTTTTTTCACATTGTCATTATGGGGTATTGTGGGTAGAATTTTGAGAAAATAAATGAATTTAATTCATTTTGCAATAGAGCTGTAACATAAAAAAGTGGAAAAGTGAAGCCCTATCAATACTTTCCAGACGCACTGTACACATATAACCCAGCTGATACAAAAATACTGACCTGGTTGGACCACATTTTACCCTACCGTGTGTTTTCACTTTAGAAGGTTTTGGTCCCTACAGTGATGTGGTAAGACAGTTGAGATGAGAAATATTTCAAAAGATTGCATTTCATCAATATTTTAAGTAATTCATGAGTGTTTGTTTTTGGTCTTTATACTTAATATAAGGGCAGATAAATTTAATAAGTGCAGATATTTGCGTAAAAATGTCATTAGTAAAAAAAGTACAAATTTGCATTAAAATAAATATAGTGAAGACCTGATACTAAAAACAAAATTTCTTGTACTTGCCATTTATAATGGGATGTTAAAAAAACACTCAGGACTGCACACTGTAATTAATTAACTCACCATTGTCTTTGTTAATAAATTTCTTCAAAACTCACAAACACATCCAGAAATATCTGTAACAAACAAACAAACAAACAATTAAACAAACAAACAAACAAACAAACAAACAAACAAACAAACAAACCCACAAACAAACATGTATTAAATAAACAAATATCCATCAATGTTTTGTAGAAATATTGTTGTAGGAAACTCTTAATCGAAGTCTTAATCGTATTAAAATCAAATTATTGGTGTCCATGTAAAGCACTCTGTGACGTTTAATAGAGAAGAGAGAAGAATGGGTATAGCTAAACTTAAAATAACGTCTATTGCTACAGTTCACAGAAAAAAATCACTACTCTTTAGCGCATGCCATAGCCTAATCAGAAGCTTTGTCCTTATTCAGTGTTTCGACCGCATGTTAAAACAGCTTGTATATAATGTCAGAAAATATACATTTAGCCTACCTCAGAAATGCCATTCAGTCATATCAATAGACTCGCTACTCAACTACAAAACTATTTGAGAGGAGCGTTTTGCTTCATGTGCAGTTAAATACATGTTATGCATTACTCCAGTTTTACCATTATGAATAAATCTGTAATGAAAACAATTTGTCGAATTAGATTTTACAAAAAAACAACAACAGTTGTACAATCATTTTCTACTGAAACGTTTTAAAATATAAGTTGGTTGTGTTCCTGTATAGATACTTCTAATGTTTTCATATCACTGTAGATTAGTTTATTTACTGTTTGGATTTTTGTTTTTGGGAGATGAGCTCTGAGTCTCAATGGTTTTAGTTCATATTCATGATCTCATTTCTGACAAAGAGCATATGTTAATATAGGGAGCTCTAAATACTGTTTGTCTGTCTCAGATTTACTTAAACATATTAGATTCAGGTTTATTCAAGTAAAACATTTCTGTAAATTATTGTTGGGTCTCAATTTCGTCTTTAGCATAGAATCTGATATTACTGTACAGGAACTGATTAGCTATTCATGTATTTAATTAGATTTAATGATAAGGTTACAAGAACAAAGCAAAATGTGTAGCAAACATTTCAGGATCAGGTTACCGCCTCGTTTTGAGCCAGGAAGAACCGGTTTCAAATCTCTTGCTTTTAAAAACTACTTTAAACACTAAGGTAAGGCTTTCTCAGCCAACACCAACGTTTTTCGATAAACTTTACTCATGAGTTGTATTTATATCATTATATTTGGATTGAATTTTCAAACTTAACTTTTTAAAGAAAAATGAAAGAGTGCAACTTAGATTTGATTTACTTTAGCCTTATCAAATATTATAAGTTGCTTTTAATTTATAGCAAGCATGTTACATGACATTTATATTTACTCACAGTTTAGGCTCGAAACACTCCTTTAGTCCTGTGAAAGAAACTGGTTCACAACAGAGTTTTCTATTTTATAGCTTGAGAAACAAGATCTCCTCCCACATCCCTTCCTTTCGTAATGAAACTAAAACTTTCTTGGGCATTTTATCAGTGAGTAGTTTGGCTTTGAATGTGTTTGATAAGCAAGGTTTTTGGTATTTACTTCCTAAAATAAATACCAATGTGCTATTAAGGCTGCAACTAACGATTATTTTAATAATCGATTAATCTGTCGATTATTTTTTTCAATTAATCGATAAATCAGATAAAAAAAAAAGCATTAATTTCGAACTGTTTATTTAAAAAAGCTCATCCCTGAGCTGTTATAATAAGTGATTTTGATCTATAACGTGAGATGGGCATTGTCATGTTTACTTGCAACCACATGTTTGCCTCATTCATAAAAAGCAGAACACGCAGGATTCAGCAGCTAAATTCACCAGTTACTCCTTAAATACATGCAAGTAAGTGGCTGGTGAACTTAGAGAAGAATAGATCAACTTTAGTTACTTTCACTATGTGTAATGTGTATCTGATATAAAGAAAACACATCGGCAAATTATATTTGAATGGAGTGTTAGACTTCCTTGTGTGTTTTACAAACTCTAAGTGTATTGTTTTACTAGTACCTGTTTGTATTTACATGTCTAAAACATAAATTAAGCATTAGGCGGTTAAAATGCTGCATAATTGTAATAATAAGACACGTATTTCTCAGCGAAGTTAAGTTGGTTTTGTTTTAAAAAAAATAAATAAATAAATAAGAAGCACTTTTCCGACAGATCTTACTGAGAGCTTTGCTCAGCTCTCTCTAGCTCAGCACCAGATACCACCCCAAAGCTGTTTGATTTTCTCACTAGCCGCTCTAAAGATAAACAAGCTATTGCAAACTTGTTCAAAACGAAACAAAAGTAGGACCTTGCTTTTGAACTCCCTTCCTCCTCATCCCTGTCTATGATGCGCCAAACTCTGTATCAGTGCGTGAGAGAGATCGTGTTCACTCCACTCCGCACTGAACTAAAGTGTTTTTTAATAATCAAACGTCCCCGTGTCGCATGACACAACGAATCGATAATGAAATTTGTTGCCAACGCTTTTAGTAATCGGTTTTTATCGATTTGTTGTTGCAGCCCTACGTGTTATATTGGATCTTCCTGCTGGAAGAAAATAAAATGTATTGTATTTATATAGCGCATTTATTGTGTTTGGCCATACACCTAAAGCACTTCACAATCATGAGAGGGGTCTCTCCACACCACCACCAGTGTGCACCAAATCAACAAACTATGTTTGTAACGACGCAACTTGCGAGCATAGTTAGCTAATGATGGTTTTCGGAAACACACCCCTGGTTAGGATAATCAGGCAAGTTATTGTGAAACGATGGTTTGTTCTGTAGACTACAAAAAATATAGCTTAAATGGGCTAATATTTTGACCTTAAAATGTTTTTAACATTTTTTTAAAAACTATTCTAGCTGAAATTAAAAAAATAAGACTTTCTCCAAAAGAAAAAATATGATTATATATATATATATATATATATATATATATATATATATATATATATATATATATATATATATAAACAACAGTTCTGTCTGGTTCTTAATTCTGATTGGCTGATAGCCGTGCAATATTTTGCCAGTAACATCACACAAAGGCCTCTTCACCCTTCACCTTTGTGTATTACTCCACCCACATACAGCCAGCAACAAGCAGAGGCACTACAGTTTGACAAATATTACAGTCGTTAGACAACGAAATGTACTTTTGAGGCTTTTTATAGTCGAGAATGTAGTTGTTTTGATTGCAACTATGCAGCTTATTTGTAAGAATAGTGCCTATTTTAAAATATTAACAATTTCTGAGAGACAGCTCGTCGGCAGCCATTAGCCTGCCAGTATATGGTGGACGTTTTCTATCCACAAGATGGCGACAGAACCATATAATAGGCCCTTACGCTTATAAGCTTATAACAGTCTGATTTCGAACCACAGCAGATCAAACCTTTACCAAACTAGTAAGCATACCTGCCAACCAGGGCCGGCGCGTCCATAGAGGTGACCTAGGCGGCCGCCTAGAGCCGCAGTATAGAGAGGGCGGCATCCGCGACAACTCCCTTACCACCCGCGTCCTCAGTTATGTCCGCGGCACCTCCCTCAGCACCCACGTCCTCAGATATATTCACGCAAGAATAGAGAGGGCGGCGTCAGCGACACCTCCATCAGCACCCGCGTGTCCTCAGTTATATCCGCGCATAGGGCGGCAGAATAGAGGTCCGCAACACCCGCGTGTCCTCGGTTATATCCGCGCATAGGGTGGCAGAATAGAGAGCGCGGTGTCCGCGACACCTCCCTCCCTTTGCACCCGCGCATTCTCAGTTATATCCGCGCATAGGGCGGCAGAATAGAGGTCCGCAACACCTTACTTCATTTTCATAACCGGTCACTTTCGTTTTCACATTGGGGTTGAGGGCGGCGTGATCGTCCTCTGCCTAGAGCGGCAGTTCAGCTTGCTCCGGCCCTGCTGCCAACACTTCCATTTTTCATGGGAGTATCCCGTATTTCAGACCAATCTATTACACCATCCCATTTTTTATTTCTTCCGGAAAACACGCAATATCAAACTCGTAGCAGTAAGATATGGCTGTATATCAGCACTGGTGGGGCACTAAGGCAGTCAGCCTACGGCCTCGTAGCAACGCACGCCTCCCACCAGAGCGCGCCCATGCGCGCGCACACACACACACACACACACACACACACACACACACACACACACACACACACACACACACACACACACACACACACACACACAGGATAAAACCTGAGCAGACCAACAGATATGATTTAACAACCCAGAGTTGGATTCATTTACAGTGCCAGGTAAGAAGGTGAGGAAAGGGAAGCTGTGCAGGTAGGAGTCCAGTCCTGACTGGATATTAGGGAAAATCCTCTAGGCTGGTGAAGTGTTGGACCTTTAGTATGAATCTAAGGTGCCTGTCTAGCCTATCTGCTGGGAAAACAGAGAAAGAAGCATTAGTATGTATTTCTTGGAGAGATCACACTCAGTCTGTGTCTTCCCTTTCTTTGTTTATATGCTCCCTTCCTAATGAGCTGCAGGTGGCGATCGGTTCTGATGAGGTGACAGGTGTTTGGACTTGTGGCGACGCTGCATTGGAACACTCGCCACAACACACACCAAACAGTTGAAGTATGGACACACCTTATCAGAGCTTCTTAAATTCTGCTGAACTTCAATTGCTAGTTACAGTAAATTTGAAGATTGCAGTCCCTTTTGTTCTTGAAATTCCTTGTAAACACGTCACGATCGAAGAGATTACGAATTCAGGTTTTGAAAGGTATTGCAGGAAATACGTGTAGTCAGTCACAGTATAACGTCTTCTTTATATCTCAAATAAGAGATTACCATTGTAAATTGTTTTAACATTGCAACTATAATCAAATACTATTTACATGAAGAAAATGTTGCATTGGGGCTGTAATTACATGTTATAATTTTTTAAAGACAATTTAGGACAAAATTGGCATATATAATATTATAAT